AAAAAACAAACAATTTTAATGTTTGTTTGTGCATGAAAGTTGGTAAATCTGACTAAACACTAATTTGAATATTATTAGATTCTAAGTCTAGGATACAATTGTTTATTTATGTAAGAGTTTCCAAACTATAGTATAACATCGGGGCAGCTTCGGCTAGATGAGTACTGCAAATAAACGTGTTCAATGTTACATAATATGTAATTATATCTGTGCCATGGGCACTTTAATTTTGCATGTGCTTAAAGTATAAACCAGTGCGTTGCCTACATACAGCAAAAACGTTTGTTTTAAACCCAGATTAATGGCTTAGTTTTCCTTAGTATGTACATTTGTCCTCAACCGAGCCAATTCAACATTATGATCATTTCTCAGTTCCTAATATTTTCAAAATTCTTAAAATAGGATATATTTGTAAAATGAGAATCCGTGATTCAATCGTTATGAATCACGTTGCCGACGCATGACACAAGCCCAGCAGCTCTGTGATTGGCCTAATGAATATTCACGGGCCATTTTAAATTTACAATTTACATTTTTTAAAGTACTGTAGTGTCATAATTGTAGCGTCATATAACGGTACAAATAGTATTTGTAGTTAAGAAATACGTAGCTAAAACTCCAAAGTGCAAACCAAAAAATTCTGTACATCCGAAATAGCAGTACAAATTTGACAAACGTTCTACTGAGCTCTATTAAGCACTCCCCTAAAAAATCTTACACTCGACCAAACCAGGTTGCAGAAATGTTGAAGAGATAAAACTGCATTTCAAATAATAATTATCAAAAAATAATCTTATTGTAAGCACTAAAATCCAAACTAATTAGGGTAATTTACATATCACTTGACTGATGACGTGCAAGGAAATTGAGATCAAAGGACTCTAATCAACCACTTTTTATACGAATTCTGTAATATCATTTATTTTCCCTAAAATATCGTACTCCATTCATTAACTATTATGTGTGATTGACACCTGACCCACAATGAGAGCAAGTTAGTATATCATTTACTCGACTTTTGAGTTTACATACCCATGACAACGCCTGACCAAATACCGCATTAGTTTCGTTACACGCGAACTAATTGTCTTTTCATTTTCAAAGGCATGAACGCATAATAATGTAAGTATCGAGGAAATGATATAAATGTATATTTATTCGGTCTGAAACTCATTAATACCACACATAGAATAATCTTTAAATTATCAAGAAGAATACCTAAAAGCTACAAATACCGTCTTTGGATACAACTCGTTGAAATGTTCTTGGAGCATGAACAAGTCGCAAATTGCAATGATCAATCAAAAAATACATACCATGCATATTTCAGGTTGTTGATTTAAACTAAGGATACGTGGTTGGTATACAAGACACGGACACGTTTCAGTATCATAGTTTAGCATTCATTAGTTTCACATAAAGTAGAACAATATTGAAATCACTGCTATTTACACTGGTGATAAATATCAAAATGAACTAAACCTTAATTA